CAGCATTTCGAGACCAAAGCCTCAGCTTTCTAATGCTTAAAGCCTTGCTCGCAGGTTCTCTGCAATGCTTTGGATCCTGGTATTAAAACAGAAGAGGTATTGAACATAGGATGTGATCACAGGAATGTGGATAGGAGTTTCTGTGGATCGTGTGCAACAGACCTGCTTTGTGCCTGGGGACATTTACAATGCAAATTTGGTTCTCTTGTGAAGCTGAGGAGTCACTGGCACTGAACAGTTTTGCCATAGCCACCTCTTCCAGCATCATAGTCCTGCCGATACTCATCTCGGACCTAAGGAAGGAGGGAAGCCCAGAAAAGACAAGGAAAAACAGTTTCTCAATAATTGTTATGCCATCAGAATACAATCATATTGACATCACAACACTAAGTGGCCACATGGAGCTGACTGACCAACCAGAAGGTGAAGTGCATCATGCAGAAACCCAAAACAGCATAAAACAACCTCCTCTTTCCTTGTGTCTGGGGACTCTCTAATCAACACAGCACAAGCAAGGATGGCCAGCCTTGGGCTTTGGCAGTACAAGTCACTGCCACCTGCTCCACTTGGGGTAAGCCTCCTGCTGTCCTGTGTGCTCCTGACAGCCCCTTACATTTTCTGGGCTTACTTAAAAGCATTATCTCCCCAGGCAGCCAAGAGCTGTTTCTGCAAGTACTTTTAGTGAAATTTGGTCTTCCATTGTTACCTTCAACAATGACTCCTAAGCTGCTATTTCTGAAATTATTCTGTGTTCCTTCAAAACAAAAAAATTTGGCAAAGTCACCATTCCCTTAAAATCCCAGGCTGTATGACAACCTACCTGTCCCCCTGATCTTCCACGGCCATACTGCCTACCCTCCTTAAATCCTGCATCCCAGTCTGTCCTTATGATCCTGTCATCAAGTCTGGTCCCATTGATGTATCGCATTGCATTTTCAGCATCTCCTCTGGCGTAATACCTTAGGAATAAGTTAATGAAAAAATGGACTTCTATTTTCACCACATGGGAAAAAGAACAATATCAAATGGGCTACAAAACCAAGTCTTTGCTTGAACCACCTTTATGAAGCTACACTTGCTAAGAAAAGTGCTAGTAAAAGGGAGGAACATGCAGCAATTCAAGCATTAAAAATACAGACATTGGATTAAGTTTGTCAATCATGCTGACATGTTACAGAACAAAGCTCTACTACTACCAAGTGGGAAGCCCCAGGCATGCTCCGTTCTTGCTGCAAACTTTCACCTTTCTGATGAGTTTACTGAAACCAGTAACAGAATGATCCTCAGAAACGTGCACATAATGAAGTCACACGTTAGGGATGAAAGAAGCCAACAGAAACTTTACATGTGCATTTGTACGAAAAGAGAGACCTTTTTTATCCTGGTATGGTGCATACGAATTTACTACAGAGGTCAAATACCTAAAAGATATCTGGGTTAAAGTATCAAAATGAAAGCAATCTGCTAACCCTGCTCGACATGCAATGTATATTCTAGAATCACGGTTGGAAAAGACCTGTAAGATCAAGTCCAACCGTGAGCCCAGCATTGCTCTCTCTCGCCACGGTCTCCCACAGACGCTTTAGCAAAGGATTAATTTTATCCTCGGAGAACCCCCCCGTGACTCAGAGACCGCAATAGAGAGCAGTTCACCCACACCCTGACCGCGCCTGTCGGCTGGCACAAGGATACTCCACGAAGCAGAAGCCGCAAGCGGTTTTCTTCACTTTGTCCAGCCCCATGATGACCTTCTTGATGTCGCCGCTTTTGCCGAAGAGCTCGTGGATCTGCTCCTCCGTGGTGTAGAAGGAGAGGTTCCCCACGTACAGTGTGCAGCTCTTCCGCAGCAGCCGCTCCTGGTCGTACCGCGTCCCCTGGGCCGCAAGGACACAGCGTTACCTCACGGTCCGGCCCGGCCCGGCCGGACTGCGCGGCGCCCGCCCCCGGCTCACCCGGAAATGCTGGTCCCGGTACTGGCTGAGTTCGGCGTAGGAATCGCTGCGCAGGATGCTTAGCGTCCCGCCGGAGCTCATGGCCGCTCTGCCCGGCCCGGCCGAGGCCGACAAGGCAAGGCACGGCACGGCACGGCACGGCACGGCACGGCACGGCACG